GGAAGCAGCTCGGTACTCTGTTAAAGAACAGATCTCAAGTGACCCAAAATCTTGATGTGGCATTCAAGAGATCATCACAAAAGAAGCAGACTGCGCATGCCTGTACATTTGGGTTGGTCAAAATGATGTACGGTTTTGGATAATTCAAGCAACGGGAGCCATTCAATTTTCAGAAAGGAAGTGAGCCTGGACAAAAACAAGGTGACCGGTATAGTCCCTGAGTTGGATGAGTTTTTTAAAGAAGCCTCCCGCAGCCGCGCCATTTTACCCGAACAGAATTGCGAGGATCGATCCAAATGTTTCAAAAGAAGTCTTCACTTGTGTTATAAGATAATCATCGCTCCTTTGGCCAGTTAACTCAAGCAGCCCGAAATCATAACTGTCCCTGATTCCTGTGTGTACCAAGTGCCATTTGCAGCCTTGGCTGATGAAGAAGGCAAGTATTTATCAGAGACATGCAGGATTCGACTAGTTCCTTCTCTGACGACTCTAAAGCTTGTTCAAGACAGTCCTCCAGACTATCACAGTCGGACCGGGGCACTGATAGTGGGTGACCCTGTGGTTGGAAAGGTGATTTACAAGGGAAGGTGCAGAAATATTGAACAATTATCGTGTGTAAGAAAGGAAGCAGAGATGATTTGAAGACTTCTTGTCATAACACCTTTGATAGGACATTCTGCGACAAAGCATTCTGTACTCCAAGCGATAAATTCAGTGAGCCTGATGCACATTGCTACACAAGGTGATGCCGAAAGAGGGGAGATTACTCTTTCTCCTAAGCACCCTACCCTTCTCCCACCTTTTCCTCCAGAAGAAGATTATCTTTTAGCGATGGCGGATATTTCAAAAACTCGGTTGCGAGCTAAACTAGTGGTGATTAGTTGTTGCCACAGTGCTCGTAGACAGATTACAACCGAGGGAGTTATCGGCATTGCCCGAGCGTTCCGATGGCCCGATGGGCCCTGGATGACACTGCCACAGTGCAGTTCATGAATTTTTTCTACAAACATTTGTTCCGCGGTGCAGGCGCCAGTGAATCTCTCCACAAGGCCAGGAAGTGGATGAGAAATAACGCCTAGCGCACCTTAAGAGCTATGACTTTGATAAAACCTCTGTAGCAGAATGAACTAGACGTAGTAAAGCTCGGAACTAATTAATTACTAGCCTGTAGAAAGAGGACGCCATCTCACTGCGAAGGGCAACTCGGATCGACACACAGTGGAAGATATTTCTGTAAAATGCTCATCAGACATCTAAGTTTAATAATCTGAAACAAGACAGCGAATTGTGTTATCTTTTTATAAGATTTTCCTAGTTAAAAAACTCCAATCTTTTTTTGAGTCATTAGTTCAGTGAGCAAGCCAAGCGAAGTGTGACAATTTTTAGGTTTCGAAGGCGATTAGTTCTTCAAGGAAAGAACTATTTAAATCTTTTATCAAAGGTGATTCGTTACTCAATGCAAGAGACTTTTAAACAAATGTGTGACTTGGAAAGTAAGTTTTTTCAAAGGTTAAATTTTTGGAAATTTCTTGCAAAGCTTTTTACAAGATATATTGTGGTTTAACATGCCAAAATATAGACATTTAAAAAAGGAAAAAAGAGACACAGTTGTATAGTAATGCAAACCCTTGAATTCTCATAGATACCCCTGTAATTTTATCAATTTAACCCTTTAACCCCTAAGAGTGACCAGCGTCTAATTTCTCCTTACAATATCACTCCTGAGTCACACATTAAGGTCCTGAGAATAAAGGAAATGATCAACAAGTACAGGAGCTCTTGATTGTAAAGCAGAATCTCCTTGTCAGCACCTTAGAAAATTTATGGAAAACAGTATGGAAAATATGCATACTGATCTTAGGGTGTAAAGGATTCATGGATACCCCTATGCGTAGATACCATTGTATCCTCGCAGGCTCTTGTATGCTCTTAGATACTTTTGTGTACTCCTTACCCTTCACTTTCGCTCTATCGCTACTATTTCGCTCCGTTGTATCAACTGAACGCCTGGAAAAGGTTACTTTGTTATCAATGAAAATTTGTCTAGGGGAATACTTTTCTTTGGCCAGAGAAACTCAACAGATTCTTCGTCTGCTACTTTAGTACCATATCTACGTGTAACAAGACATTAAGCACCTACTGAAAACCAAAAGAATACG